CCACCTTTGTTGGAGTCACCCTTGCCCTTGTCCTGGTGCTGGAGGTTGTCCTTGCCACCCTTGTCGTCCTTGCCCTTAGCTGGGTCACCCTTGTTGGAGTCACCCTTGCCCTTGTCCTGGTGCTGCTGGACGTCGTCCTTGCCACCCTTGTCCACGGCGCCCTTGCCCTTGCCCTTAACCTGAACACCCTTGTTGGAGTCACCCTTGCCCTTGTCCTGGTGCTGCTGGACGTTGTTCTTGCCACCCTTGTCCACGGCACCCTTGTCCTTGCCACCTTTGTTGGAGTCACCCTTGCCCTTGTCCTGGTGCTGCTGGAAGTAGTCCTTGCCACCCTTGTCCACGGCGCCCTTGTCCTTGCCCTTAGCTGGGTCACCCTTGTTGGAGTCACCCTTGCCCTTATCCTGGTGCTGCTGGACGTTGTCCTTGCCACCCTTGTCCACTGCGCCCTTGTCCTTGCCCTTGGCCGGGTTACCTTTGTCGCCCTCACCCTTGCCCTTGTCCTGGTGCTGGACGTTGTCCTTGCCCTTGGCCTGGTCACCCATGTCCTTGCCCTGGCCGCCGCCACCCTTGACCTTGCCCTTGTCACCCTTGCCCTGCTCTTCTTGGGCTGCTCGTTCCTCTTCAAGTCTCCTCTCGTTCTCTTCTGCTGCTGCCTCCAGAGTCTTCCTCACCCTTTCCTTCAGCTCCTCTTCTTCCGATTCCTCACCCTCGTCCACGGCACCCTTGTCCTGGCCCTTGGCCTGGTCACCCATGTTCTCGGTCTTGGCCGTGTCACCCTTGTCACCCTTGCCCATGTTGTCCTTGCCACCCTTGTCCTCGCCACCATTGTGCACGTCACCCTTGCCCTTGTGCTGGTTCTGCTGGTTGTCGTCCTTGCCCACAGCGGGCTTGCCCTCACCCTTGCCCTTGTCCTGGCACTGGACGTTGTCCTTGCCCTTTTTTCCATACTGCTGGGTGTTGCCTGCAGACTTTCCCTTGATCCCCAGGTGCGAAAGAATCGCACGATTCATCTTTGACTTGCCCTTCCCATCGTCACCCTGGCCCGGGACCTGAGCCAGCTGCACTTTTGATCCTACCAGAAACCGTGTCACAACGCATGGCTCGCATAATCTAAGGCAGTGCTTGCCAAGCTGCCTCAGTCTCAGGTGACTCTGACTCACCTTCGGTGTCACTCTCAGACTTACTCTCAGATGTTGGGCATCTCTCGGACGGCATTGATCCTCAGCTTGAGTTGAGTCAAGCCCAGGCAACCAGCCACTTTGCTACCTAACAATGATTACAGACACTTGCAGTAATAATTAGTATGCCAAGTCACTCTCGGAGACTGGTCTTACAAGACTCGATGAGCCACGAGGAGGCCTCCCACTTGTCCTTGAAGCGAAGGTGCCGGCAGAGATCACTCGCGGCCCGTGGCTCCACACTGAAAAGCAGGAAGACGACCTGTCAAGGCTTGCAACTGACTGCCAATCTTGCAAGCAAAGCACCAATGACCGGGGCCAGCCTGTTGGGAACCGCGGTCCACCTTCTCCTCACACACAGCCGCCCAATTCGGGGGCAGGGCGTCCAGGCCGATACTGTTACCGGTCGACCGCCCCACCATGTACAGGCAGGACTGACACTGCACAGTGTCGGTGTTCAATAGTCCTATTCAATTTGTCAAACATTGCTGTTAAATTCGTTTATCTAGTGATGACTGAGCAATTCGTGCGCAAGTGAATGTGTGACATTCACACACACACCCACACACACACACACACTGCTTCTTGGACATGGACCAGATCTGCGGCAATCGAGTCAGCATGCCGAGATAGAGAGCCGGCGCAACAGCAATTCAACTCACAAACGCTGCTTGAAGGTGCTGGCAACACACAATGCATGAGGGGGGCGGCACCTCCTGATTCCGACGACTGTGACACTGTCGATAGCTGCCCAAGTCCTGGCAAAGGCTGCTGTTTAGTTGTCACATTAACAGGAATGCGACCTGGGTGCGACCTGGGTGCGACCTGGGTGCGACCTGGGTGCGACCTGGGTGCGACCTGGGTGCGACCTGGGTGCGACCTGGTGGCTGCTGTGTTACTCAATGCACGCAAAGACTCACTCTTAGTATGTGGCACTTCAAACTGACTCTCCTGGTTCGCAACACGATGCTCCTGGCACCAGCCAGGCCGAGCCATACCTGGGCTGAGAAAAGGTCACTCTCAAGAAACAGGACATGTCATTGAACAGTAAAACTTCAGTCTACAGTGCACAGACTCATCAACGTCCTGAAACGCTTATTTTTTCAAAATGCTCCACTCTCAAGCCGGCTCCGACACTGTACAACATGATTGTCCAGTCTTGAGCAAAGCTGCATCAATGATGACGCTACAGATATTTTCGTACTCCGGGGAAGTCTACTGTATAATATTCACATTCACTTAGACTTTGACTCTGACTCTGGACGTGAAACAGGCTCTGGCGGCTTAGTCTTTTGACGCTTAGCCTCTAAGTCTGCCGGCTTCGAAGCCCGACTCTTAACACCTTCTAGCTCCTCGAGTCGTTCCGCACTCATTTGGGCTATCTTTCGAAGCTTCTCTCTCAGCCTGTACTCGGTTTCCTGATCACTCTTGAACTTCTCAATCTTGTTGATGGCTGCCTCAGGGGATACTGGGGGTGCATACTGGAAGAGCTTCAGGGAATTGATGTATCTAAAGAAACAATTTGTGTCAGTGTCAACCAGCTCTAAGTTAACTTCAAGTTGAGGCTCACCCAGTTCACTCTTCAGGCTCTTGATCTGCTTGTCCTTGTCGTCAATGACTTTCTCCAGATGCTCCTTCACCCTGGTGTGGTGCTCCTCGATGTCCTTCTTGCCCTTCACGTACTCACACTCTCGAAGGGCAACGCTCTTGGCGTGCTGATTCTTCAGCTCCTGGGTTAAACTAGCTAGTTTGAAATTGAGGACCTAGTGCTGTGTTCGAACCCTAAGGCCTCTCAGAGTCAGAGGTCGTACTTTCAAACGCATCACAAAAACAGACCTTGCCACCGAATCCGTCCTTGAGGTCACTCTCGCGCTTTAACTCCATCTCGGCCTTCTCGGTTTTCCACTGGTGACCCTGCAGCTCCCATGCGGCCTTCTCCTTCAGGTGACGCTCCTGCCGGGAGGAGACACATGAAAGTCTAATAACTAACTTGGCACTGAACAGGATCCTCCAAGCGCGCGATCTCACCCTCAAGGCGGTCAATCATCTTCTGCGAGCTGGCGTGCATTGACCCTCGCATGGCCGAGGTGGTGCTCCTGGCTGATTGCACCCTACCTCCCCACTTTTGAGCCTGACTACTAGCCAAGCCCAAAACAAGTAGTAGCCATGATTATTATTACTTAAAAGTTGCATTAGAGCTCCTCTGATGACTCTGTTTGCCTTTGCCCTTGACCAAGTCTGCCGGGCCACCATATTTGGGCGTTGCACGCTCCATGGTTGCTGGGCGAGCTACAGGACTCACACTCGTCTATCAATCAAAAGGCCACTGGAGCAAAATTAGCTTCAGATTCAGCGTGTCGTTACATCAGAAACATGTGCATGTGCAAAACGAGGCAATGTGACGCTCACAACTGCAAAGCTCAATGCTGGCAGGTTGCCATTCACGCTGACGCTGGGCAATGAAGCAGCTCCATGTCAGGCCTGGGCACGGGAGCAACCCCAAAGACCACCAGCCTACTTCACATTCACACTTGACCATGCAGCGGCATGCACCTCCTCAACCATCCCAAGAACAATCAGTCCTCAAATCCGAAACTTTCAGCAACCCTCTCACACTACTGTCAATCGAGACTGGCTCTAGACCCTAGATTGGCGAATGACTATTGCCGACTTACACAGAATGACTCTGACTGTAGTCGCAGCGGCGAATGGTTCATGCCGCGCTACTTCAGATACTCACTCTCGACTCTAGTTCGGCGGATGTCTCTTGCCGATCTACACTTCGACACCGACCATCTTAGACTCTAGCTCGGCGAATGTCTCTTGCCGATCTACACACTGACACCGACCATCTTAGACTCTAGCTCGGCGAATGTCTCTTGCCGATCTACACACTGACACTGACCATCTTAGACTCTAGCTCGGCGAATGTCTCTTGCCGATCTACACACTGACACTGACACTGGCAGGCGGCGAATGGTTCATGCCGCACTGCTGCTTAGACAGTCACTCTGGGGCACCGAGCGTGGCCATGAAGAAGAGCATCTCGATGTGCATGACGATTTGGTTGCTCACACTGGGACATAGAATGGTTCAGTGGTAGGGCTGAATTTATGGTTCGTCTTATTAATAAGGCTTCAGACAGGCAGGGCTCACTCTCACTCTCAAAATGCTGCGAGCTAAAGCGAGCAAGATAACCCTGATTTATCAGCGCGCCCTGCCCCCCCCCCCTCCCTGCAAAACCCACAAAATTAAAAAACTTCCGAAAGCACAACCCAGGGATAAGAATGCGAATGAATAACAAGAAATTCTTTATGAGGGCAATATGGAGATTACTATCTCTGTTTTTGTTGATGTGCCTTTTTTTTTTTTTTTTTGGGGGGGGGGGGGGGGGGGTGAGCAAATAGCAGCTAGACCCAGGAGTAACCTAGGAAGAAAAAGGGTGCCTTTTTTGGTTTAAGGGGGATTATAAGGGACCCGACCCATGCTCAGTCTTGACTACGACAGCTCTGTTTTGTTTGTTAGCTTTAGTTACCCAAAAACCGATATCATTTCCTGAACCTGTGAATCACACAAACCATAGACTTTAGGCCACAAACCGAAGAACCTTGAAACAGCAAAAAAAGGGCTCAGTCCCAAACCCCTAAACCCCCTAATCTAGGGGCCCAAATAGTTAGAATAGGGTTCTTATGGTGTATCTGCAACAGGACCCTGAGGGAATACTATTAGCAATTATTCCGACCCCTATAGCAACCCTAAACCCTAAACCCTGAACCCTAAACCCTAAAACCCTAAAACCCTAAACCCTAAACCCTAAACTACCTGTCCGCCATGAAGGTGGAGATATCGCAGCGGCGTGACCTCCGCTCGAGGCGTCCAGGGTTTTGCGTTCAGTGCTTGCGGATTGAGGGCTTAGGGGTTTAAGGTTTAAGGTATAAGGTTTAGGGTTTAGCGTTTAGGGTTTAGGGTTTATGGCTTGGACAATCCCGCATCTGAGGCATCCAAATCACAGCCCTCGTGAGGTCAGAGGACTTGTCTGGGCTGACGCCTAAACAACCCCATGCCCTGAACCCTGCAGCCCCATCCTCAAGCCCTAAAACCCGGAACCCTAAAACCCTAAACCACAAACCCTAAACCCTAAACCACAAACCCCAAACCCGAAGCGTTTCCGAAATGTAAGAAAGACATCATAAACCCTAAACCCTAAGCACTAAACGACATAGAAGCCCTATAAGCCTTATAAGCCTTGTAAGCCCTAAACCCTGAACCCTGCACCCTGAAATCAGAACCCTAAACCCTAAGCCCTAAGTTACTAAGCCCTAAGCCCTAAGCCCTAAGCCCCAAGCCCCAAGCCCTAAGCCCTATGCCCTAAGCCCTAAGCCCCACGCCCCAAGCCCTATGCCCTAAGCCCTAAGCCCTAAGCCCAAAGCCCAAAGCCCTATGCCCTAAGCCCTAAGCCCTAAGCCCTAAACCCTAAACCCCAAACCCTAAACCCAAAACCCAGCCTCCAACCATGCAGGAAAGTCCACGGGCTCGCTACTGGTCAGCGTGACCTTTCAGGCCCACTTGGGAGGCTCCAGGGCTTGGAGTGGGAGGGCCTCGGGCTTTGGGGGCTTCAGGGTCCAGGGGTTTAGGTTGTGTTATGTTTAGGGTTAGGGTTTAGGGTTTAGGGTTTAGGGTTTAGGGTTTAGGGTTTAGGGTTTAGGGTTTAGGGTTTAGGGTTTAGGGTTTAGGGTTTAGGGTTTAGGGTTTAGGGTTTGGGGTTTAGGGTTTCGGGTTTAGGGTTACGTAGAGTTTAGGGTTACTTAAGGCCTTGGGGGGGGGGGGCTTGTGGTTGTGGTCGCAACCCCGTGGCATTTAGAGCTTGGGACAGGCGGGTTGCTGGAACGTGTCGGGCGTAAAGGGTTTTGGGTTTGGGGTTTAGGGTTGAGGGTTCAGGGTTAGGGTTTAGGGTTCAGGGTTTTGGGTTTGGGTTCAGGGTTTAGGCCGAAAGAGCTCCAGCCATGTTGCTTGCGAACACGCAAAAAAAATGCCTAAATATGAACCTCTGCGACCAAATAACGGAACATGCGGGGGTTTGGGGTTTAGGGTTGAGATTAGAGCTAGAGTTTAGGTTTGGGGCTTAGGGCCCAGGGTGTAGGGTTTAGGGTTTGGGGCTAAGGGTTTAGGGTTTAGGGTTTAGAGCCCTACTATCTTAAGGAACGAAACCCTAAACCCTAAACCCTAAACCCTAAACCCTAAACCCTAAACCCTGACAGTGCTGTGGTATACTAGAACCCCAGCGAGTTCGGGCAATGTCCACATCTGAACGATTTCAGGGTCCTTGCTGGCTCCGAGCTTGGGCCCTTAAACGGGAACCCTTATACACCCCTTACATACCCTATACAAACCCAAAGGGCCCCATACATAAGAACCCTCCAAAAGAAGAGACCATATTAAACCCTAAACCCTAAACCCTAAACCATGTAACCACCCTTAGAAACACAGGGTGCGCTTTTGAGAGGCTGGTTCCGGTCTCGCTTTCTTCAAAGCAAACCGGTTGTCCGGCAACCCACGAAAGCTTCGGAGCACGTGCCTCACAAGCCAGCCAGTTTTGTTGCGGATCTCGTCCTGCGAGGCGTGAACATGCCGCGCGAGGTCCAGCGCAGCCGACTCCGATTCAAACTGGAGGAGACCGGGGCATGTCATTGGCCTAGCAGACCTGCGCCTGCATAGATTGAGCTTCGTTCCTGCGGCGCGAGGCCTCCAACTGGAGTCGTCCCAGGTCTTGTTTTCACGCAGCCCACGAGCTTCTGCGTACACACAAACATTAGGGGTACCCCTTTTTTTGGGGAAGTGGCCAGTTGAGGTTCTCAGGATTTGGGGCTTAACGTTTAGGGTTTGGGGTTGAAGGTTTAGGAGTTTATGGCCATTCGGGGCAGGGGCGGGGGGGGGGGGGTTCCGTTGTAATGCGGAGCCGCGGCCCAAAAAAGGACCATACATCAGCCCCGAACTCATTGAAGCCATTAGCCCCACATTTCAACTACCCCACACCTCAAACCACCCCACTTCAACTGTACCTGAACACATCCCTGAACAACCCAAGCCCCTAAACCCTAAACCCCAAACCCTAAACCCTAGACCCTTTAAACCCGAACCCTAAACCCTACACCCTAAACCCTAAACCCAAACCTTCAACCTCCAAAACCTTGAGACCAAAGGAGCGGAGGCGGCGTTGCAGGAATTCGTCTGGCACAGGGCCGAGGCCTTCCTTAGTTGCCCAGGAACCATACCGTTCTTATTTTGATTAATACTACTATCATTACTCTTACTATTACCATTATTATTACCAGTATTATTGTTATGCTTACTATGATTATTATTATGAATACTATTTTTATCATTATTATGACTATTATAATTATTACTATTATAATTATTACTATTATTACTATTACTATTATTATTATTTCTATTATTATTCTTATTGTTGTTGTTAGGGCGCCCTTTTTTTGGTTGGTTACTTGATAAGGGGAACCAGAAGCAAAAAAAAAAGGTAAAGGGTACCACTGGACTGGGCTACCAAGCTTCATGCGTCGCACGGCCATGGGTACGGACTCCACGAAGCGCGCCTTGGGGGGGGGAAAGGGGGTTGGGGCTTTGGGGGGTTTTGGGGTTTGGGGTTTTGGGGTTTTGGGGGTTTTGGGGTTTTGGGGTTTAGGGTTTTGGGGTTTAGGGTTTTGGGGTTTAGGGTTTTGGGGTGTTGGGGTTTAGGGCTTGAGGGTTTTGGGGTGTTGGGGTTTAGGTTTAGGGTTTGGGGTTTGGGTTTAGGGCTTAAGGTTCAGGATCTCCATTTAGAGGCTTACAGGGTCGAAAAGGGCCACCATGATATACATACACTTTACAGTTTGAGGGCCCATACCACACTAAGGGCCCGTGGTTCGAACCTTACGATATAGCAGGGTCCAGCATTTCAGGTTTCCAGCAGGTTGGTTTTGGGGCACTGTGGCTTGAGAAGGGCCTAGTTACAAGGCTTCTTCGGTTTAGGGTTTAGGGTTCAGGGTTCAGGGTTTAGGGTTTAGGGTTTAGGGTTTAGGGTTTAGGGTTTAGGGTTTAGGGTTTAGGGTTTAGGGTTTAGGGTTTAGGGTTTAGCGTTTAGGGTTTAGGCTTTAGGGTTTAGGGTTTAGGGTTTAGGGGTTTAGGGTTTAGGTTTAGGGTTTCGAGTCCTTAACCTGGATCTTAAGCCCGGAACCCCAGACTCTGCCACCTCCAAGTAGTGCGCGAAATTTTGCCCCGGGCCTGAACCCTCAACAATTTCAACATAAACCCTAAACCCTAACCCTAAACCCTAAACCCTAAACCCTATACCCTCAACCCTTTAGGGTCCAGGGCTGAGAACCCTAAACCGTCCAAGCTCCAACCCAGAACCCGCTCTACCGGCCGAGTCACAGAGATCCCTCCAAGCGTTCCCGTTGTGAAGAAGAGCGTTTCTGGCCAGGGGCTGTTTGGGGGTGAGGGTTTAGGGTTTAGGGTTTAGGGTTTGGGGGTTTTGGGGTTTTGGGGGTTTTGGGGGTTTTGGGGTTTTGGGGTTTTGGGGTTTTGGGGTTTTGGGGTTTTGGGATTTTGGGGTTTTGGGGTTTTGGGGTTTTGGGGTTTTGGGGTTTTGGGGTTTTGGGGTTTTGGGGTTTTGGGGTTTGGGGTCTTGGGGTTTTGGGTTTGGTTTGGGGTTTTGGGGTTTTGGGGTTTTGGGGTTTTTTTGGGGTTTTGGGGTTTTGGGGTTTTGGGGTTTTGGGGTTTTGGGGTTTTGGGGTTTTGGGGTTTTGGGGTTTTGGGGTTTTGGGGTTAGGGCTTAGATGAATCTCCAGAATCCCGAAACCCCTTAGGGGTTAGGGCCCCGGAACCCTAGGCATGACAAGCTGGACAGGGGCGAAACGAAGGAGGGAACCCACCGCACCCTAAACCCTAAACCCTAAACCCTAAACCCTAAACCCTAAACCCCAAATTCTAGATGAGGGCTGATGGGTCTGGGGTCTGGGGTCTCCGGTTTCGGGTTTGGGGGGGGCTGATCCTGCAGAGTTCGGGGCTCAGGGCTGTAACAGCATGCTGTAACATGCGACGCCCTGGTGCACCCAAGGACCCTGCCCTGCCGGCCAAGACCCTCGAACACTCAAAGGCAAGGGCTCAGGAAGAGTTTGTTCTGGTGATGAGGCCTTGGGGCCTTTCGATTCAGGAAGGTTTAGGGTTTCGGGTTAGGGTTTAGGGTTTAACCCTAAACCCTAAACCCTAAACCCTAAACTCTAAACCCTAAACCCTGAACCCTCAAGTCGCCCCACCCTAAATCCCCAACTGTCCGCATCAAGCCGCCGTCCGGGGACAGGGTCATGGTCATGTAGTAGTCAAGGCTCTGAAACCACTCCAGAGGTTTCCTGGTTTAGGGTTTAGGGTTTAAGGTTTAGGGTTTAGGGCTTAGGGTTTAGGGTTTAGGGTTTAGGGTTTAGGGTCTAGGGTCTAGGGTCTAGGGTCTAGGGTCTAGGGTCTAGGGTCTAGGGTCTAGGGTCTAGGGTCTAGGGTCTAGGGTCTAGGGTCTAGGGTCTAGGGTCTAGGGTCTAGGGTCTAGGTTTAGGGTCTCCTGACTGACCATGAACCCTAAACCCTGAACCACCGCAAGCGGGGAGGGGGGAGATGGTAAAGGAGATAACTTATCAGGGCGAATCAGATGCGTCCCAACACCCTCCTACACTAAACTCTGACCCCTAAACCCTAAACCCTAAACCCTAAACCCTAAACCCTAAACCCTCAAACTCGCAGCAACCCTAAACTTCTGAGCCTCGGAATCCCTCAATTTCACCTACACATGGAACAGCTACTTGGAGGTTCATGGTACTTAGTACGTATAAACCCTAAACCCTAAACCCTAAACCCTAAACCCCAAACCCTAAACCCTAAACCCTAAACCCTAAACCCCAAACCCCAGTCAACAATTACTTCCGGCCCCCATGGCTACTGCGCGCTCGGGATCCTTTGAAGATCTGCAGGTACCGACCTCGGGTCCGGAGGTGACTTCTTGGCTATTGTTTGAAGGAGTGTCAGGATTTAAGGGGTTTAGGGTTTAGGGTTTAGGGTTGAGGGTTGAGGGTTGAGGGTTGAGGGTTTAGGGTTTAGGGTTTAGGGTAAGGGCAGTTACCAGCAACGCCCGAAACGATCAAATTGCAGCTTACTACAAGTACTACTGTTCATACAATACTTGAAGCCTCTGCTACAAGCTCTCATGATGTTCAACCCCTCAAGGATCCAGGCAGGTCACTCGGAGGCACCCAAA